TTCCCCACAAAGCTCGCCCTCTGGGCCGTCGTCCTCACTCCTCTCACCAAATACGCCCTCGAGTTTGCCCCCTTCGCCATCCAGCTTGACCGCAACCTCCCCTCCGCCACCACCTCAAGAACCCGAACCCTCATCAGAGGCACGATAGGCTCGCTCCTGCTGATGCTGATATTAGGTCTGGCGCTGTCCGTGCCATACTTTGAGCATGTGCTTAGTCTAACGGGATCTCTTGTGAGTGTAGGGATATCTGTTGTTATTCCTTGTGTTTTCTACTTGAGGATTTGTTGGAAGAGGGTGACAAAGGTTGGGGTTGGGGTTAATTGTGGGCTTGTTGCTGTTGGAGTTGTTTTGGGGGTTGGTGGTAGTGTTTCTAGTTTTATGTCTCTTGTTGAGAGCATGAAGGGAGGGGACTGAGTTCGATCGGTAATTTGATCGTACAATCAAGATGGTACCAATGTTGTAAATTTTAGTAAAAGAATGTTAGTTTGGTTGATGACCAACTCAGAGCAACGTGAGACCTTGATTCTAGAAATAGAACTATTTTAGTCTTTTTCGTCTTCTAATTTTTTCTTTTACTTTCTCTTACCATATTTCTTCTTTTTTCTAATCAATCTTTCGTTTTAAAAATATTGCCACTCTCCTAGCTATATGCGCATCATAACGTGAGGTGTGTGACAACAGCGGCACCGGGCACAAACATGTACCAAGTCTATTGTGCACTTCCATGTCATAGAAAAATACTTCATGAAATATGTCTTAAGTTAATACTTGGAAGTATTGGAGCAATATAATATCAGCTTTCGCATTGCTTACGCCTTATTTTGCACACAACCTTAGCCTTATTAGACTGCCAGTTAGGGTAAAGATTCTCTACATTGTTGATTGTAAAGAATCTCTATAACTCACTAATCAAATTTACTCATTAGTGACCCTCATGAATGATATTAATTATCTAAATAATATAAAAATATTTTTAATGGTGGGATCTAGGGGTGTCCAAAAAGCCCGGAGCCCGGACCCGGCCCGGTGTCCGGCCCGGGCCCGGCCCGGTCGGGCCGGGTCCGGGCCCGGGCCCGGGTCGCCGTTGGCGAACCCTGTCCGGGCCCGGCCCGGGCCCGGAATAGTGCCCAAAAATGGGCACTGGTTCTTCGAATGGCCGGGCCGGGCCGGACCGGCCCGGCCCGGCCCGGCCACAACGGTCACTTATGTGACCGTTGAATCCGGGCCGGGCCGGGCCAGCCCGGGCCCGGGCCCCGGGCCGAACCGCGTCACGAAGGTGACCTTTTTGGCCGGGCCGCGGCCGGCTGGCCGGCCCGGCCCGGCCATAACGGTCACAAAGGTGACCGTTGCCCAGCCCGGCCCGGGCCAAATCTGGCCTAACGGCCAGATTTGGTCTTTTGACCGTTTTGCCCCTTAAAACGGTCAAAAAACGGCTATTTTTCGAGGGTTTTTTGGTCATTTACCTAGGGGGCTGCTTCTATAAATAGAGGGGGGGTTTCAATTCATTTTCTCACAACAAAACTCATCTATTTCTCTCTCTACTACTCTCTTATACAATCTTATACTATCTCATACTAATATACTATCCTATAATCTTTTGTATTTTCTAATACTTCCAACAAATGGCTTCTGGGTCTGATTATGAAGAGCAACATGCAACTCCTACCGATCCAGAGATGAGTCCTCCTACAACAACTCCTCATCCTACCGGTGTTAATCCTGAATCTGGTGGCGACGAATCTACGGCACCAAGAGCTCCAAAAAGGCCGAGGTCTGATGTATGGAATTTTTTTGAGAAGATAGACGTCACCAAGGATGAACACGGTAGGATCATCTCTCAGAATGCGAAATGTGCGTTGTGCGGCCAGATATTCAAAGCTCATCATAAGAGCGGCACCAACCATCTCAAACGGCATATTGAAAAACACAACAAAGGCCAAAATCTACAAGGTGATATCCGGCAGTCTATGCTTTCCCAATCATCCTCTTCAGGTACCCTCGGCAGTTGGAATTATGACGCTGCCCGAGCCCGGAAATGCGTAATCAGGTTTATTGTTCTTAAAAACCTTCCTTTTAAATTAGTAGAAGATGATGAATTTGAAGATTTATTTAGAGATGGTTTTTATCCTGCATTTACAAAATTTTCTCGTCAAACCTGTCAACGTGATATTTTAAAATATTATGTTGAGGAACAGGGAAAAATAATTTCTTATTTTAAAAATTTAAACTGCAAATTTTCTTTAACTTCTGATATTTGGTCATCTAGAGTGCAAACTGGTTATTTATGTATAACAGCACACTGGATTGATGAAAGTTGGAAAATGTTTAAAAGAGTTGTTTCTTTTATTGCAATTGAAGAGTCACACACTGGTATTAATGTTGCAAATTTAATTGTTGAAGAACTTATGAAACTAGAAATTGATCAAAGAATATTTACTCTTTCACTAGATAATGCAAGTAATAATAATGTAGCTGTTGATTTTCTGAAAATAACTTTGTCATTGCCATGTCATGGTGAGCTTTTTCATGTTAGATGTATCTGTCATATTTTAAATTTAATTGTTCAAAGTGCATTTTCTGAAATTAAACCCATGATAGAAAAAGTTAGAACAGTTACTAATATGCATAATGCTTCTGAAATGAGAATTAAAAGATGGAAACAATGTTGTAAAAGAAAAAATTATAAGCCTAGACTAATTCCAAAAGATGTTGACCATAGGTGGAATTCCACCTATGCAATGTTATCTGTAGCAATAGAATATAAAGAAATTATAAATGATTTTATAAATTTTTATGCTTCTAGTTCTAGCTCTGGTAGTGCTTATGGAATAACTGAAGATGAATGGACAGTTATATGTAAATTAAATGAGATGTTACAAGTTTTTTATGATGCTACTATGTTATTATCTGGTTGTTATTATCCAACTATTACTTTAGCTGCTTTACAAATTTTAAATATTCAAAAATTTTTTGCAAAATATCGTATGGATGATACTTTTGGAAATATAATTTTTCAAATGGAGAGTAAATTTAATAAGTATTTTAGGCCTATTCCTCATATTTTTGGTATTGGTGTTCTTATTGATCCATGCTTGAAGGAAATTGGCCTTCGAAGTTTGTTACAATCATTGTATGGTGGACAGATTATAGACTTAGATGATGGATCCACCCTTACTGCTACTACTCATTATTTAGCTATTAGAAATTATTTTCAAACCTTATATGATGAGTATGCAGCTAGATATGGTGTAGCTACACAACAGTCTTCAGCTTCGGCACCTTCAGCTTCGAGCACAGGTCGAGGTAAAAGTGTAAGTTTTGATAGGTATGCAATGGTAGCTGAACTAACTGGTGGATCTGGAACTTCATCAGGATTAGATGTTTCTGAAATAGATGAATATTTTTCTGCTTCTTTAGTTAGATGTCAAGGAAATGCTTTAGATATTTTGCAATGGTGGAAAGTATATGGATCAGTTTCATATCCTATACTTTCCACCATGGTTCGTGACTTACTATCAGTGCAGGTTTCGACTGTAGCCTCGGAATCCGCTTTCAGCACAGCAGGACGTTTGATCGACGACCACAGGACATGCTTAGATCCGTATACTGTACAAGCGGTGATGTGCTTACAGGATTGGTGGAGATACGAGAAGCGAACACAAGGCATCGAACGGATTGCTATGATTGAAGATAAATTTGAAGAGTTGGGACTAGCAGATAGATATAATGATTAGATAATATTCATAAAATTGTAATTTTTATTTCTTAGCTTTAAATTTGAATTAAATTATTTCGAAAAAAGTTGCAAATGATAGTGATATGGGTGAGTAGGTGCCAACCTAGTTGGGATGTACTCATCTATTGTGATGCGACGAATTTCGAAATAAATTTATACTTGTAAAGGATTTACCGATTATTAATAAAGAAGTTATTTTTATCATTTTTTGTACTTGTAATTTATGTCATTTCATTTCAAGTTATTAATAAAATTTATGACATTTTTTATAATAATTTATAATTTATGGTTTTGTTAAAATTTAAAAAAATAAAAAAAAACAAAATTTAAAAAAAAAAACAAACCGGGCCGGCCCGGTGTCCGGCCCGCTCAGGCCCGGGCCCGGGTCCGGGCTTGGGTTTTGCCCGGCCCGGGCCCGGTTTTCCGGACCGGGCCGGCCCGGATGGACAGCCCTACTGGGATCCATGTTATAAAGCAATAGTATTAGCTCGTAAAACTTATTGTAGATATTCTGTACAATCAAAATTATAGAGGATCCAGATCCGGTTTCTAGGGCTAGGGTGGGGTTTTTATTTATTTATTACTATATATTATGTGTAGGCGAACTAGACCTTAATGTGTCAAAAACCATTAATCAGAATATAGGTATACCAACATCTTACGATCATCCGGTAATTGTGGACGAAGTTGACATTCAATGATCTAATCAAATCTTAACCATTAATCAGAGTATAGAACTTCTCATTATACTTCACTCCTATTTGATAGCTCGGCTCTAATGTCACTTGCTTCGAAGAAATTGACCATTCTCAGAATGAGCTTAAGCGTGCAGTTCGCATCAAATAATAAATCCATCTTATATATTGTTTTTAAGTACTTGATTCTCAAACCCCTGCCCAGGTGTAGTGAAAGGTATTTAACCCAACTTTATGCCTAAGGTCCTTATTTTATTTTATTTTCTCTAAGTTTTCCGATATACCACTAACTCAGTACAAAGATTTCCCGACAAAATTGCTAATTTGTCCCGGTCTATTGTTAACCAAACCAACCAAAGAATATTCCTTAGATATTATCGGGTTGTTAGCATTACCTCCTTAATATCTTAGAAGAGAAATTCATGGTTGGGTAGAGGAAATCATGGGGACTGATTTGATTTGGGATATAGGTGGTTACTGAAAAGTCTTTATAAAAGAAATGGTGATCTCATTATTGACATGTACATTAAAAAATTCTAAAGTTTCTATTCAAAACCTCAAATGAAAACATTCTCTAGTATCTTCTCACTGGTACCAGAGCCGGTCTTTATCTTAAAAGTTTCTTTCTCTCTTCTTATTATTTTGTTTCCAGTTTTTACTTATTAAGAGAGAAGACCAGTTCGTGATACGTGATAGCTTTGCTTACATTTTTTATCTCCTATTATTTTTGTCAGAGCATCTTTTTGTTTTTTCTTGTCAGAAAAAGTTTTGAGATGATATTCTTTTTTATAACTTGAGAAACCACAGCCCCACATCTGCTCCCACAAGCTCGTCTAAGTGCTTCGGTTCTTTCAAAAAAAATTATTATTTATCAAGCTCTACAATAAGAGCACGTTTATTTCGTTTCTATAAATTTATGGGCGTAGATTTTTGGCCAAAAAACTCATTTCCATAGTTTTTCACACATATTCTAGAAATGAATTTTTTTTTTTGATTCACTCTTAAAGCAAGGCCCTCGCGATCCTCCGCCGCCTCATCTTTGTCGGCGTGCTCGATCCTCCGCCGCCGCCTCCTCCACCGCGTGCCTCCGCCACCTCCTCCTCCACCGCGTGCCTCGACCGCCTCCTCCTCAGGTCGCTGCTTCTTATCCATCAATGTATATGATAATTATTATTTGAACTTTCTTCTTAGGGTTTATAATTTTCGATGCCTATCCCTCAATGCAATTTGAATACTTACTGCTAATTCAGATGCTTCTATCTTTCTTGCTATTCTTCGTGAAAACTGGATCTTTGCCATATATGGGTAAAGCTTTGTTCTAGTTATAAAGATGGTGTGCTAATAAGCTATCTTCTCTATCCTTGTTACCAGCATGTGTTCACAATAGTTACTGGAACAAACTGCTATTGACAAAGAGAGCAGAATTTCACCTTCTTTTTCTTTCATGAGGGAAGCATTGTGAGGGAGAATGATGAGGTATAGATTACCGTCAACTAGCCATTCCGATAAGTTTACTGTGATACGATATCGTTAAAAATTCTCGATGTGATGAGGACTATGCACATGTTTTGTGCTTCTGAGACCTGTTAGCATCAAATGCAGAACCTGTAAGGTTTCTGCAAGCTTGGATCTTTGTTCCAATGGAAACTTATACTTTCCATGTAATACAATAAAGGGTATATTGAAAATTTGAAGGATGCACGCTGCACAATTAATATCATGTGAAGAATGCACTAGGCTCTTAGGATTATTCATCTGAATTGGATTCGATTGGGTCATCGTGAGGTAGCTTTATTTTGGTGAACGTAGTAATGTCTTTAACGTTGAGGAACTAAAGAAGTAGAACAAGAGAAATTTCATGTTTGTCAAAATTAAGCTCATTTTCATATCATTTCTGTGAGCGTTACATTTTCATGATGCTTTGTATTATACTTAATTCGTCATAGTTTCTAAATGTTTGCAATTCAAATTGCATTTAGAAAATGATCATAGATAAACCGTTGATGCTAAGTGGCTCAGCAACTACATCTCATGGATATTTAATACATAAGGTTACTTTGTGTATCAGATGCAAATCTTGTCGTTGCCACTGAAAATTATCTTGGGATCATTAATTTTCTCTTTTGCTTACTAAAAATGTGAAGCCATAGTCGCCAGTTGAAAACAGCTCGGCACAAATCCTAGTTTATTATCTTTAAATCTTCAAGAGAAACATATACACCGATCAATACATAATATTTAGAGAACTAAAGAAAAATGAAAGCCAAAAGGTTTCCTCTTTTATATGCTATCTTGTATCTTGAATATGGCGACATACTCAGATTATGAATGACAGTGTTGAATACCAAAATATTAATGGAGATTTTCTATAGGTAGGATGATAGAAATACTCAGGTAATAATAAAATTCTCTGTGATGTTTTGAGCCCATAAACTGCTATGATTGTCTGAGAAACTAATTTCACCGAATATTTGTGCTACGATATTGTTACACACATAGCGTTGCTGGAACCTCATAAACAGGTTTTGTCAATGTCCTTGAAACTAATATCGATTGCTTGAAAAAAGTATCTTTTGGTTCAAATTTAGTTGCATTACTCATGATTCCTATGCTTAGTGCTGAACTTGTGTTTTCCCCCTCAAAAGCATGCTTCTTTCATAATGAATTTGTACTTACATGAACCATTTTTTTGTTTAGCTGCATCTACATCTGCACCAGCACGTGTTCCAAAACACTCTTTTAATCTTCGTCCTAATCGTTCTCAGAAACGTGCAGAGCGATAAGGCGATGGAGGTAGCAATTTGTATATATATCATTTGAATTTATATTATTTATTATTCTTTATATTATAAGGCGATGGAGGTAGCAATTTGTATATATATCATTTGAATTTATATTATTTATTATTCTTTATATTATCTACTATCTTATCTGTCTCATCACATACAGTGCAATCACGATCCTCTGTTCCCACTTGAGGCCGCAATACTTCCCATAAGCTTAAACCCGATGCTGAATAGGGTGAGAAGGCATGGCCTCTGTACCTCAATAATAGGGGCCGCCCCATTGGTGACTATGCTGAGAAATGGGGAAAGTTTGTGGTGGTGGAGAGCCGTGTGTACTGCAAATATCCTCTCCATTTAGAATGGGGTGATGAACATAATAGGTCATTTGACGATTTCTTTATAAGATGTCAGGTATAATTATATTTGTATTTTGATTTATCCAATTAATTTGTTATCATTTAGTACATAATATTTTAACCATGTGATTCGTTTATTGAATTTACAGAAAGATTATGAGTTTCTCCCCGTGGATCCTAATCAGCCTCTCTCGGATCATATTGTTTATCGAGGAATGAAGTCTCAGCTGCAGAAGAGGGTCCGATATAATAGGTGTCAGGTAAAACATGAGTGTTATGAGGTGTCGAAAAATACTCCCGAAGCAGAGAGGGAGGCTCTCTGGCGTACTCCGGCATTTTCTTGGATTGATAAAGACTCATGGGCTACATTGTGCACATATTATGATTCAGAGGGCAAGAAGGTGTGTAGTTTAAACTAAATCAATTGTTTAGTTGGTAATTAATTTTGCCTTTGTTTGATTACCAATCTAAATATTGTAATAACATGCAGGAGGAGGCAAGACGTAATGAGCAGAATCAGGTGTCAAATTTGCATGGTAGAGCAACCTATACAGGTGGCTCGAGGAACATGTGTCGGGCTATGGAACAATTAGTAAATTTTCTTCTTACAACTAATTAAAATTCAGATTATATAATTCTTAAATGTTTTGATCGATTATACAACATATTTTTGGTGAATTGCAGAAATGTCAAATTATTGAGGATGGTGGCACACCTACAATGTTGAAACTATATTTGGGTACCCACTCGTCATCGGTAGATAAGATCAGCGGAGAGTATACATACCCGGACAACAGCACTAACGAGTATTGCGTAAGTGTTCTTGATGAAATTTTAACTGCTTTTATGTTATAATCATACTTCAATTAGTTTGAGACTATCTGCAACACTAAAATATAGCCTTAGGTGAACATGCAGGTTTCTGTACAAAAAGAAACACTAACCTCCTGCACAAAGTCCTGCAGCTTGCTGCATCCCTTCATAAGTGTCTCAATTATCTCAAGCTGAGCAATTTTCATATAAAAAAAGGAAAAAAAGTTAGCCAAGGTATAAGAAATGGGAAATATTGTCATTAGGCATTAAAAGACATTTTATGGGAAGATCGAGTAGGAAAGCAAGTATATTATGTTCTCCTTCAATTCTAAGGTAAATTTTATTTTCATAACCAGCTTTGTACTTGTGATCTCGCCCTAGTGGCAATTATGGAGATACCAGTGGCAATTACGGATGGCAAGGGTTCAACTAATTGACCGACACATTGTAGCAAAAAGTTCCCTTATTTTTTATTGCGTTGAAATACCGCCTATTGGTGAATTTTCATGTGTCATTTTGCTACAATGTGAAAGACGAAGGTTCATACCTAAGGGTAGCTACTCTTTTGTGTTCGAGACTTGCAAAAAGTGTATATAATTTAAATATGGATCGAAATCCCCTTGAATAGATGTTCTGGATGAAAATTTAACTGCTTTTATGCTATAATCATACTTCTATTATGTTTTTAATTTTTTCTTAAATATATCTACTCTTGCCTTGTTGTCTTATATTTGAATACTTTGAATCGTGTAGGAGCAAGTCATCGAAAAGGCAACATCATCAGGGGTCAATTCAACCCCAGAGGATGATGCATTTTCTTTCACCCCAGAGGTCGATTCAACCTCATCAGGAGTCGATGCTGAACTGATTATCTTCATCGGGAGTTTGTATCTGAATTGTATTTGAACTCCGTGTGCGGGAAATATAATTATCCCAAGCCTGATTTTGGCAAAATTTGTCTAGTGTTGACTTCCGCTGCGGCGTAAATACTGTTTATACTCATACGTAGATGGAGTTTACACAGTTTAAGCTCTTAAGGAGTTGGAGCATGAAGGATTAGTTTATACTCATATACTTCTCGGAGTTCGGAAAGAGAAAGCTAAGAATGCATCAGAGACTCGTTTGGTTGAGCTCTTTATGTGAGATTTGATTATAGGACCAGTCGTTGGTGCTGATACAACTACTATCTCTGAAGCTACCCCAGGTGCCCGAGTCACGAGACCAACTGATGAACCTGGTGTGTCAGTGATTATTAAAGTAATGTTATGACAGAGGAGGTTACCAAGGCCTTGACTACCACTGCATACTCCACAAAAGTTGAGAGCAAATTTGTCATCTCGAGCCGCTTATTATAGAATTTTTGGCAAACCCTTAGCCATCAACGGATTTGATGAGTCTTTATCGACTACAGTTTGAATCGAGATAGCATGCAGATTGTCTAAGTCTGTTCTACATGTAACTTTATGCTAAAAGAATGAACTCTTTTAGACTTAGTGCTACGATATTAAATACGTAGGCTTTGTCATTTTTACGGAAACGTACCACCCAGCAACGCGTGATAGGCGTAGGCTTATATCTAATTAGGGATTGAGATAAAGCATGGATTTTGGTCGCTACAATGTTGAATACATAGACTTTATTATTTTTATGGGAACGAACTACCCGACAGTATATGTTAGATGTAGGCTTATCTCTAATAAGAGACCGAGATAAAGTCCCTTATGCCAGAGAGACATAGATTTAGTTGTTATTAAGTCGATAATATCAACTGGATACACATGTGGACATGTGGACTGGCTATATATATAGACTTTTGGAATTTCGTCTTCTCTCAGGGCAAAGACGAACCCGATTTGTCTTCTCTTAGGGCAAAGACGAACCCATTTTGTCTTCTCTTGGGGTAAAGATGAACCCATGTTTTGTCTTCTCTTGGGGAAAAGATGAACTCATCTTTTGTCTTCTCTTAGGGCAAAGACGAACCCGTTTTTTGTCTTCTCTTGGGGCAAATACGAACCCATTTTGTCTTCTCTTGGGGCAAAGATGAATCCATGTTTTATCTTCTCTTGGAGCAAAGACGAATCTGTTTTGTCTTCTCTTGGGGCAAAGATGAACCTATGTTTTGTCTTCTCTTGGGGCAAAGATGAACCTGTTTTCTCTTCTCTTGGGGCAAAGACGAACTAATGTTTTGTCTTCTCTTAGGGCAAAGACGAACCCGATGCTAGAGAGGACAAATTTTATATTCTATCTTCGACTTCTAAAAAACTCAAAGTGGGATCTCCACTTTGAGAATCTGGAAAAGGGAAACTAAGAGTGGGATTTCTACTCTGCGAATCAAAATGATTCAGATAACCCTAACTGTCGGAAGGTTTGATGACCTAATCTGAAGATGAATTTCTCATTTATCAAAAAGGAATTCTGGTTTTGGTCCCAACTGTAGGAAGGTTTGACCAAGTTGGAGTTTGAGGTGATCTTAACTGTAGGAAAGTTTGATTGCTCAATTTAAAAGTGGACCTCTCATCATGGAAGGAATCGAGAGGGGATTTTGTCTTTGGTCCTAACTATAGAAAGGTTTGACCAAGAAACAGTGGGAGTGGAGGTACAAATAACAATGGGAATGTTGACTTGTACAAATCACTTAGTGGGGATTTTTGGTGTCAGGTTTATAGAGACTTGACACAAATGGGGTTTGACAATCGCCATGTATCAGCAGATGGTGATTTTGAGTATCGTGTCAGAACTTCAACAGTAGGAGTGTTAAAGGTTAGACACAACGGGAGTTTGAATGGATTTAACCATAAAGAATTTTGGTGGACTCATTGTTACTTAATTTGATTAGTGAGGGGTTTTGTGGTAAAGGATCGTGAGTTATCAAGCACTCCATAATTACACCATGGGAGTTTCGTGAGGAAAGATTGACCCGATGAAGTCATTGAATCTTATCTCAACAAAAGAGCGCTCCAAAACACAATGGGAGTGGATGGAATCGATCCTAGCGATTGAAACCAACTAAGGATTGGATAAAGGAAAGAATATATTATGTTATCTTTTACTTCGCAAGAGAATCCTGATTATTAGAGAGATATCAGTGATCAAAAAAGGTTTTGGGAGTTTGCTCCTAAGTGGGTTGAAGCAGATGGGATGTGCTTCATCCTTGAAGGATTTTATAGTCACAATGAGAGTTTTGTGAAGGAAGATTGACCCGATGAAGTCATTGAATCTCATCTCGACGAAAGAGTACTCGGAAAGTCACAGTGGGAGGGTTTTAATCATCTTGAAAATGATTAAAAAGCCACTATGGAAGGTTCTTAATTATTTTTTATTTATCATGATTAAGAATGAATTATTCAGATGACTGGTCTTCATCTTGAATAATCAGCTAATCTCGGGTTATCCTTAAGAATACCATGCATAGTATCTTCCAAGAAATTCCCGTATATGGTTATCTTTAAAAATACTACGTGTAATATTCTCCAGGAACTTCCCATGCTGGGTTATCCTTAAGAATACCACGCGTAATATTCTCGAGGAATTTCCCATTGGTGGGCAATGCTACCACGGAATCAGGTCTTGCATCCTGACTTTGTATTCTCCACGAACTTCGTATCGACTCCCAGTTTTTTTGGCGAAACTGAATCCAATGAGGAGCGCATTATTTTCAGCCATGTTGTTGGGTTATCCTTAAGAACACCATGTGTAGTATTCTTCAGGAACTTTCCGTTGTTGGAAATAAGGGAAGCAGTTTAACCTCGTATACCAGTCGGAGGAACATGGAGAAGCAGCTTATACTCGTGTACTCATCGGAATCTTCGCCGTTCTCATTTGGCTTGTTCTGCCATTATGATGTCGGCGTCAACCAAGACTTGAATACTATCTTTAAGGGCAAAATAGTTCTTGGTGGGATGTTGAACCATCCTATGATATGCACAGTTTTTTAGGTCCGAAGTCTTGCTAGCTTCCTCCTGATTTGTAATAGGTGACAGCTTGGTGAGGAGGTACTTAAAGATAGATAGAACTTCATCATCTTCGAAAGAATACTCCTTCTGGGACCTCGGATCAGGAGTCCTTTGTTGCCTCTGGGGTTGTTGTTGTGATGTTTGATTAGTGTTCACAGCAGTTGCAGGTGTCGTCGGTTGGCTTCTCTCAGCTTTCTTTCTTTTGAGAAAGCGTTCAACTTGTTCTCCGTGTACCTTTAGCTCTTTCCAGGTTTTGGATGGAACCACCCCCATGGCTTCCAACACATCCAAAGAAAGATTGTTGTGGCAAGTTTGGAGGATGAACTCCTCCGTGACCGAATCCCGACAATTCATCGCCTTATTCCGAAAACACTTGACAAAGTTGTTAACTAACTCTCTGCTATTCTGCTTCTCATCTAGAAGAGTTCTGATTGATACCTCAGTGTCATTGTCAAAGAAGTTATTGAGGCAGAGATTTTTTATGCATCCTAGATGTTAATGCTCCCTGGCTTGAGACGTCAATACCAATCGAAGGCAGCCCCATGAAGGGTGCTTATGAATAACCATACCATCAAGGGCTCATTACCAGAAATCATACCCAAGTGAGACTTAATGTAGATCAAGTGCTGAGTAGGAGAGCCTTTCCGGTCGAATGGCGTGAAAGATATCAAACTGAACTTCGGCGAGTATGGCATTGACTCCCACTCCCTTGGGTATGGGCACGGAATACCGGTATTTTTCACCTCTTGAGCCGACATTAAGGCGTTGACATTGTTCTCAAGCTCTTCCATCATTTTATTATCTCCATCCTCATTTTTCTTCGGGGGACATTGAAGAGGATCAACTGGACCACACCAGTGTTATGGCTATTGGGAGGAGGATCAGCAAAACGTGTTCATCCACATCTGCGTCGCTATCATTTGCATCGTTTTGGGCACGACGGCTAGATTCAGCTCGCTGACTTGGCTCAGGTTGTTGAGACTGAGTCTGCAATTCCCTCATCTGCTGAATGGCTAATTCCATCTCCATCTTCATTTCAGCTATAATTTCTTCTTGATGGTTAGCCAGAGCTTCTTGAAGCATTTGAGCTAGCTGATCAGGAGTGATGGTGAATGCCTCGCGGGTTAGTCCTATGCTAGACATTGTTTCATCTGAAGCGATTGCAGAGCAAGCGTCTGATACTTCATCATCTGAGGATATTCCTTTATGTATCCTCTAATAATCCCTACATCTGATCGTTCCTATTTGGAGCCGAGTTATACGCTGGGAGATCCCCGGATAAGAGTCGGGACTGGAGTTGGTCGAGCACTGTTTTAACTTTCCTTTATTGGCCATGTTGATGATAACTTCTGGGAGTTTCTCATCTTGAATGTCCAATCTTCGCTTGCGGAAGCGTCTTGATTTAGGCTTTGACGCTTCAGTGAAAAGTCTTTCAAATACCGATACCCTTTGCGGAGTAATCTTGGGGCAGCTACACTTTGATAATACTGCCCTGATAAGTCTCTCACACTAGCAATGAGAGTTCGTTTCTAGTATACTTCTCTTCCAAGACTTGTTCGCACCCCCACTATGATAGTACAACTCATCGGTATGATTGCCTGAGCACCCTATCGTTGGTTTGTGTGACTTCCTAGGTATAACGTCATCTTTTGAAAGGTACATTTTCTTTTGGGGATGTGACGCCTTATTAGCATTCTTAAGAGTCACATGTTTAGATCCACCCCCCTTGCGAGTGTAGAATCTCAACGGGCTCCTGGGCTTCAACACACACCCCCAAGCGGGCAGTTACAGGACACGTATGACCCCCAGTCTGAAGAGTCACTTGGGATTTGTTTACCGGACCCAAGCGTTCTTTAACTGGAGCTTTGCCTTGATCCTCGTGCAAAGGACCAAGGTGATCTGGTAGTTATCCTAAATCTAGATAGATCAACATTGCCATGGGGTTTTATGGGAGGTACGAGATGGAGCAGGAACAGAGGCTGACAGAGGTGAGAAAACATGTGCGAGGGCAACTGTTGGCGCAAGACAAAATATTGTGTCTCGGCCATGGCCGAGAGACTCAGATGTGTCTCAGCCTGTGGGACACTCTGATGTGTCTCGGCCATCAGGGATCTCTTCGACCATCTTCTAACTTGTTTTTGGAGCCGTCATGGACTTCGACACCCAGACTTTGCGTGGTTTTGGTAGTTGTTTGGCCACCTCTTCCATCTGCAAATCTTGTACCTTTTGCACAAGAATACGCGCGTGTGAGAGAAGTGTATGACGCTTTTGGATGCGTTCCTAGAGAGTCGAATGAGTCCTTTTGATATGGACTCATTCGTTGGTTGATGGCTTGGAGGAGATATCAACATCTTACCGTTTAGGCGGCTGAGTCTCTTGGAGCCTCCTTGACTCTAATTCCTTGTGATAACGGATTTCATCAACCTGCTCCAAGGACTTAGCATGCTGACGAGTGAAACATTAGCGCTATCTCTGACAAGCCCTCTTCGTC